ATGTTAACCAACAGGGCCTCACGCTTACCGGGCGCCAAGGCCTCTTATACCCTCCACCATCAGCTCAGGGGTTTTGTGCCATAGAGCATCTTCAAATGCCAGCACATTACGAAAACCACATTTGAGAAAACCAAAACGACGCGACCTTTTTACACAACCTGCTAAACGCCGAATTGTCAGAAGTTATCGTCGTTGGACGTAAATATGTAGCGTACCTCATTAACTTTCAGGACGAATGGGATAAACTCGCCAAATGGGCGATCACCCATGATGTGTGGAGTCCGAATGTGAGATGGCTGATACAAATCCCTCGACTTTAGTGAGTTCAATTTCGAAAGTTTCTCTTGTAATTTACAACTTGTTACAGTACTCTTATATTTGCCATTATTTTCAGTGATATCTACAAGTCTAAAAATATGGTGAAAAACTTCGACGAGCTGCTTGACAATGTGTTCACTCCACTATTTGAGGCCAGTACAGTACTTTTCAAAGTCGCTTCATAAGAAGCCATTCGTTGCAAAGCGCCATTCTAGCCCTCGTAACTCACCATCGGAGTCCCTGATGGCGCTGGGATCTGGGCACCCTTTCGTGTGCGATCTTACCCAACCAGGGTGCAGCATTGTTAGAAGGGTCCCAACAGTGGAGGTTGTACTAGGTCGTCAGAGAGGTGCTGCAGTATTTCGGAGGGGGAGGGAGTGGTGAAAGAGGGGTAGTGATCTCGGCAGAACTTTTTCGAGAATGATTGACTACGACTTCTCCACCGCTCGGCGGCAGTTCTGGTGAGGGAGGAGAGTAGAGAGGTGCCAAAAGTTGTAAGAAATTGGGGAACATTTGGAAAGGTTGTGGAAGGTAGGGTAGTTTTGGGGAAACCTGTGAGAGGTTGGGAAATTTAAGGAGATGAGAGGAAGGATGGCGGAAGAGAGGTGGGGTAGTCTCGGAGGAAAAGATTCGTGGGGGGGGGGGGTCGTTTGACACCGCCATTTCTCCCATCCCGATCCCATACAGATCCCTTTGTCCTTTTTGGCCCCTCCTGCTCCTTATTTGCACTCCGTATGCTGGAAACAGGAGAGGGGAGGAGGCGTGTTGCATACCTTGTTTGAACACGGCGCAAGCAGGACACGTCTCGCGGATTGGGAAGATTTTCTTGGCCCTGCTCTCCACCCTAAGGGTTTCCTCCTCTGGTGCGGCATTCTCCCCCAACTTCCATTTTTTTTCCCGAAACTGCTGTCGAGTGTGGCTGGGAG